CACTGAGTTGTTATTCAAATTAGTGAGACCTGCTCGTCCGTGGTGGGTTGGGCGTCCTCTGAATGAAGGGAGCTCCAAAAATACTCATATTGGTGTAAAGAGAAAGCCTATAGAGTAGAAGAAAACTGCACATAGTTGGCAAAGCGTGCCTAGGTGGGCAGTGTTTAGTGCAAATTCGCTTAATGCTACTCAGAGAAGTCCCGGAAACCGACAAAAGTTGGTAGAGGTTAAAGGAGGAGGGCAGGTCAAATGCCAATTCAGCGTGGCGTGCATGGGGGCGTAGTTTGCCACCGTGCTAATAATTCTATCCCAAGAAGTCTTAGAGACCGAGAAAAAAGTGGTAAGAGTCTTCACACGGAATCAAGGTCTAAGCCGTGCATCAAAATGGGTTTTGTTTCCCACGAACGTTACGGCTCAGTTGCCGAGAATGCTGAGAGAACGGGGAAAAGGTGTACAAAGGTTGGCGAAGGACATGAGACCAAATTCTACTGATGAGCGAAGCGTGCACTGAAGGCAGAGTTTGCCAGGACGCATTACAAAAATATCGATGGTCCTGTTTTATACCAGTAGAGTCCCATACGCTAATGCGTGCGCAGTAAAACCGGTATTATATTTACGGATATTATTTTAGGTTTATTTGCTATACTAGATTAATATTATACGGGATATTACAAACGCTCACGGTTCTATTGATAAATGCAAAATTACTTTTATCATTAATTGCCTTTTCTGTGAACGCTTTCGATTAAATTTACTGCTAACTTAGCCTTTTTGGCTCAGGTCGAACTAGTCATCTAACATAATTATGGACGCATTCAGAACGGCATTTTCTTCCAGGAAATTCTTTTCGCCATGACCCGGTGTCACCCTTCCTTACGCCTTAAAGCCGTACTGTGGGATAGAGAATTTGAATTGGCTTTGGTTTCAATGAGACAAGTTCAATACCTTCAATGTGCAGTGGGTGCTCTCGCGGATGTTCGGCGATTGTGGCGGAGTATTAATTGACATCATCGCTGGTACCATGAGAAATGTAGGTGGTGGTATGCATGAAAGTGGCCTAAAACACGACATTTTGCAGTTGTTGGATCAAGGATTGAACGTATTATCAACTCTCAGCCCACATACTTTTTCTGCTATGATAGCACAGAAAGCCACGGCTTTCTGTGGCTTCGCTGGTGACTGCATCTTATGAAGCAGTCGCTGGCGAGCCACCCTGAAAATCTTTTCATGTGACGATTATGATGCATTTTTACCAACATATAATGAATAAAGAAATAGGTTACTAAATCAGTGAACAAGCGGGCGCTATCGCAGTATAGGGGAATATGGTGCTGGCAGTGCGTTCAAAAACGCGAAAAACATGACCTTCGTTAACTTATCGAGGCCTAAACACAGTGACAGAGAGAGACAGCAGTGTGATAGTTCGTTTCCTCAAATTTCTCACCTCTTCCTATCTTACGATTATTCCTAGAGGATGAGCTCGTGTCTTGCGACAGCGCCAGTAAGAGTTTTGTGGAAGACTCAGTTGTGTATTTGAAGAACCATCTCTTAAAACTGGTAAAAGAAACCGCAAGATAATAGACGAAAGTGTCGCAAAATATCACAGAGGCTCGAATATCGCAGAAATGCCCCTGAGAATTTTGATGCATAATTTGCAGTGCGCCAGGTTAATGTTATATGTCCCTTAACCCACACCGAGCAGTGTCATAAAGAACGTTCTAAAACGGCGCGCAACTAAGGTAACCTTAAGGAGGGAGACTCAGTGGAAGTAGAAGTAGTCATGGCGGAAAGGTAGTTTTCGACTTGTGATTGTGGTGAAAACTTTGGGAAGGAAATGTGAAGTATTGAGACGATAGCAGTTAATATCCTTTTGGCTATACCCCACCCTTACCCCTCCCCGCTCCCCTCGATAGCGGTCTCTGGAGGCAAAAAGTGGATGGAGTTTAGAGCGTATCCCAGATCTCAGAATAGAATGATAAATTTACTTGTTAGATGCAGCGATGATGGTGAGTGTAGTGCTAGGGGTTGGAGTATGTGGAGGACTCTCTGAAGCCGATCATAGTGGTGGGGTTGTATCGAAAAGCGCTTGAAAGGGAGTGGTGGATAAAAAAATCTCAGAATGTACCATGGCTACAGCCGACCCTGCTGTGATCCGTTGTTTCAGGCCCCTCTACATTCACTGAAATGGTTGGATGCAGGGTGGATAGCGGTCAAGGAAATCCTCGGCAAAGTGTCGAGAGTGAACGTACGCGCGGAAAGCACAGACGGCTCGCGCGTGGCGAAGGTGAATGTCCGCGGGGAGCGTGAATGAACAGGCGGAAATCGTCGACGAGTAGTCGACGAATGCTCGACCGAATTTCATCCTGATTGGATGCCGCACAATCCATAATGAAATTTAAAATTCCACTGCACAAACAGACACTATCGCAATAACCTAGGAGTAATTGAAAATAAAAAAGCTGAAAAAAAGTGAAAAATGAAAAAGTCTTTGCAAGTACCATCGTTGATTCTGACAATGTGCTTTCAATCGCCGAATTCTCCGAAATTGTGCTCTCATTGTCGCAGACCGGACTCAAGTGTGTTCGAGAGCAATTATGAAGAGCTACAAGAAAAAGTGGTTCATTCAGTGTGTATCGAATATTTGGTTCTTCATCTGAGGTTTCGCATTATTGATTGGAGCACAAAAAAGCAGTCTAACGACAGCATGACGCGCTTTTCTCGAGTTACTTAGTATTTTTATGACAGAAGTTGTCCGTCAATATCATCGGATCAAGGGAATACTCTACCACTACCGTAACGATCATCATGGAGGAGAAAGGCGGGTTTTGAAAAAACATCAAAAAAAGATGCCACGAGGAGTACGCACAATGGGCTGTCGTCAACTTGGTAGCATTATACTTAGATAATCTTCACCCCGGTTAGCTCTGTCGCAATAGCGCATGTGTGCCCACGTGACGCCAAATCTGCTCCATCAGATGAAGTATGAACTATTCGGTTCGGATGTTTCCCTATTTTTTGTAGATCCTATTGAAACATATGCGTAGCTATGCTTGTTAAAGTGAAATTATCGATTTTTCTCGTTTTTAGGGCAAAGGAAAATCTAAATCGGGAATACTTACAGAATTCGAAATCCTGTATGGATCTACGTCGACCACAGCGAACTTCTTGATAAGCCTAAATGAGAAAGCGATTGGATGTAGTAGACGAGGTAGTAAAGAGCATCATACAGGTCCTAGCAGGAAAGCGTCATATTAGTCTTATTGTCAGACTCAAAACAACCTATAACCTTTCATCTTGCCTATAGCAAATAGCAAGATTAAAGGCAGAGTTTACGATCAAAGCAGCCCATCGGAATCAAGGTAGATGTGTTCAGTGGTGTCGAGTTGAGGAAAAATTATGGAAAACGGCTCAAAACTCGAGAAAGCACTCCTTCTTACCCGCTGAGTTCCGCACCGATGCACGATACACTCATTGCGGTGTTTCCTCTTTAGGCCCAACGCTGTCTCCGCTAGAGATTGCGGCGAATGCTTAGCCGCTTAGCCAGTTTGTGGGCGTACTGCTCCGATA